ATGGAGACAATGATGATTAGCCATAGGAATTTGGGATGTTTTGGGGCACCACATTTCCAGTCAAACCCAGATGTCAATCGGTTTGTCCCAAAGATATTCAAAGGCCAAAAGCAGGATTGATCAATTTGTATTTCACCCATGAATAATATGAATCATGAATATTGCTTTTTGCAATGATCGTGAATTAAGTATTAACTACGATCATGGTGATGTCTGGGGATAGGAGCAAAGGTTAAAGCTACAAATGGTGATCATATCATGGAAAACATGTAGGAATTATCTGGAAAATATGAGCTAATATGACCAAATGGAAGCATGGTATTAGGTAGATTAACACCGTGTTTTTTTTCAAAACTGGTGGATATAACAAAACCCCAAGTTACAGCAACTTTAATGGTGGTAATAATGATCAACGGTGGGATTTTGGGATATCATATCTTCAGACAAACCTGCGTAGATAGGGATCCCATGGCAGGGTGTATACCACAGAAACATATGGCTATTGGTCAAAACCCTGGCACCTAGTGAACCCCAAAATAGCTGGTAAATGGATGTTCATCCCATTAGAATTGATAATAATAGGTTTTGACCCACCCCCATATGGGGCGTAAGCAACGTACCCCAAAATTTGATGATTGTTGGTTCATGGTTAATCAGCATGTCCCCATCAACACAGCCATTTAAGATTTGACCACGGCTTGGCAATTCACGGCACCTTCAAAAAAAACGCAGCAGGTAGAGGTCCAATGACGGTGAGCATATAACAGCAAGAAAAAATAAACAGCAATTGGGGGTCCATATAATCATGGCATATCATGGCCAATCTTAGATACCCTGCAGAGAAACAAACATGGTGAGGAAATTGTTCCCATTTATGGCAATATGATCGACGTATTTATCAACATCTTGCAGCACCCACCGATCTTGACCCTTTCACCAGCAATCATCATGACGTGACTATCTATACTAATACCGGCCAAAAAGCATGGTAATGCACTTGGGAATCCTTTCAATGATCACTTGGATTTTCCAAATACCACATGGATGTTCATACCCTATAAATCTATAATGGCTACAGGGAAGGAGCCCATAGTTAGCTAAGTTGACTTTTAACTAGGTGAACTGCTGGGTTTATACGGGATATACCTATAGTTAGGTGGGATTATAAACCATTGTAAACCTATAACTAACTAGGGGTCCCCTTCAGAACTTCAGTCTTCAACCGAGGGTCTGAAGCTTGGCAGAAGCATTGGCCACCAAACAGAAGGCCTGGGGGTCCAAAGCCTTCGCCGTCGCAGCAAAGTGCGCGATGGCGTTGTTGGGGCGCAAAAAAAACATGGTGTGGCCGTGGTGATTTCGATGCTTTGTGGTAGATATCACATAATTCAACCCTCTGGTTATGACTAACAGTTCGCCATGGAAAATCACCATTTTTAACAGGTAAACCATCTATTTCTATGGGCCATCTATACCATGGCGAACTGTTAGTCATAACCAAAGGGTATCACCTTCTATAGATGAGTCTCTAACATTTTGATGAAGCCAGGCTCAAGATGGCTCAATATGGCTCAATCCCATCCCCCTAATCTCAAACACCCCCCTAAAGTAAGCATGGTTTTTGTAGGAGATTTACACATATTTGGGACCATAGAATGCCATAGAATGGGGATCTTCAATACTAGGGGGATGGGATTGTTTATAAAAATCATCCCATTACATGTTATTATCCCATTATTATCCCACAATAAATCCCATTAGATTCTTTATAATTATCCCAGTATCATCCCATTATTATCCCATTATGATTAGTAGGATGATAGTAGGTTATTATGCTAATAAATGCTAATAATAATAACAATAATAATACCCTCTGGTTATTTAACATAGCCATGGGAAATGGCCCATTTATAGACTGTTTACCTATTAAAAATGGTGATTTTCCATGGCTATGTTAAATAACCAGATGGTAAACCATATGTATTCCCCTTATTAATCACTAGACTATAGATATATTATGATATATCCGCCGACCCCGGCAGACGCAAGGGGGAGCGCGCCAGGGAATAAGACAAGCAAAGACGAGCAATGGCCAGTAGCCAGCAGCTTATATATATATATAATTTACCCTCTGGTAATTTAACATAGCTATTGAAAATGGCCCATTTATAGTTGATTTACCCATTAAAAATGGTGATTTTCAATAGCTATGTTAAATTACCAGAGGGATCTCACCACAGTTTATATAATTTATATATAATACTTATATATATTATTTATATATATAATATATATTGACATAATATTTATAATTTTAATATATATATATATATATGCACCAGGCCCTGCCCCCCCCCCCCTCCCCCCACCCCCCATGGGATGGGTCCCATATACTGGCCCCATATGAGATCTTCCCCCTCCCCCCCTGTGGTGTGGTGGCGGTGTGGCGCTGTCCCCCTCCCCCCCCTGTGGTGTGGTGGGGGTGTGGTATGGTATGTTGGGTATGTATGGTTTGTATGGTCGGTCTGGTATGGCATGTTTGGAAAGTATGGTATGTTTGGTAGGTATGGTATGTATGGCATGAGTGGTTGGTATTGTATGGATGGTAGGTATGGTATGTAAGTCTGTTGGGTATGGTATGTTTGATATGACAGTATGTATGGTCTGTATGGTATGTATGATTACTATGATGGTATGGCATATTTCCTATGTAAGGTATGTATGGTATGTATGGCATGTATGTTTGCTATTGTATGTATCGTAGGTGTGGTAATTACATTTCATATGTATGGTATGTATGGTGTGTATGATAGATATGATAGGTATGATAGGTATGATAGGTATGGTATGCATGGCATCATTGATTGATTGTTCGGTACGGTATATGTTAAACACAGGTGGTGTTGTGAGAGTACACCGGTAGTAAATAGGAAGTAGATACAATAGATACATAGCACATGTATATATGACTATAGGTAGCACGTAGGTACTTTCAAGGAGTATATGTGCTACGTAGGTCGCCTAAAAGGTAGCATGTAGCTAGTAAATGCGAGGCTGGTAGTCAGAAATACTGCAAAGACCTAGCAAATACGAAGCTGGACCTCAGAAATGCTGCCAATAGCTTGCAAATAGAAGGGAAGGGGGGCTGCTACCTGGGGACCCAACCCATGGGGGGGGGAGGGGGGGGGGGGGAGAGACGGAGGACGGGACCATATATATATATCTATATATATTGGGTATATATTGGGTATATCGATAATATGTAAGCGATATATATATATATATATATATATATATATCCGCCGACCCCGGCAGACGCAAGGGGGAGCGCGCCAGGGAATAATACTTTGGATTCTTGTTTCGGACTACTACCGCTGCAGTGGTTTCAGAAGGGACGTTAGGCACTTTTTGGGCTCGATTTTGGCGCTGGTCCGTCCTTCAGGGCCACTGTGTTTCCCCGTCCGGGAGGGTGCGTTTTCAGCCTTGTTTCGGACTACTACCGCAGCAGGCGCAGCAGCAGCAGCAGCAGGAGAAGTAAAGCAAAGACAAGCAAGTTTAGCCGCACCAGCAGCAGGAGCAGCAGCAGCAGCAGCAGTAGCATCAGCAGACGCCAGCACCAGCATCACCAGCAGCAGCAGCTGCAGTACAGTAGCAGGAACAGCAAGAATAGCTGCAACAGCAGCGCAGCGGACGCCTGCACCACCACCAACAGCAGTAGCTGCAAAAATGTTGTTCTTCGGGGCAGCACACCACCAGCAGCAGCAGCCAGCAGCAGCAGCAGCAGCAGCAGGTGGTCAAGCCCCGGGGCAGCATGTTTTTGGAGGTCGTTCCAGCCTTCAGTAGCATGGTGTTTCGGTGTGGCGAAGGGTGTGTTTTGGAGGCTTGCAGCACCTGCTCCAGCAGCACCAGCAGCAGGAGCAGCAGTAGCAGCTCCGGGAGGGTGCGTTTTCAGCCCCGGGAGGAAGAGCAGCAGCAGCAACAGGAGCAACAGGAGGGTTCTATGTCTCATTGTAGAAACAGTGGTATAAAAATTGGTCGAAAACCATAAAACCTTGTCCAAAACTATTGTTTTTCTAGGGTTTCAGAAGGGACGTTAGGGACTTTTTGGGCTCGATTTTGGCGCTGTTCCGTCCTTCATGGCCACTGTGTTTCCCTGTCCGGGAGGATGCGTTTTCAGCCTCGGGAGGAAGAGCAGCAGCAGCAACAGGAGCAACAGGAGGGTTGTATGTCTCATTGTACAAACAGTGGTATTTAAAAAAAATAAAAAAAATGGTCGAAAACCATAAAACCTTGTCCAAAACTATTGTTTTTCTAGGGTTTCAGAAGGGACGTTAGGGACTTTTTGGGCTCGATTTTGGCGCTGTTCCGTCCTTCAGGGCCACTGTGTTTCCCTGTCCGGGAGGGTGCGTTTTCAGCCTCGGGAGGAAGAGCAGCAGCAGCAACAGGAGCAACAGGAGGGTTCTATGTCTCATTGTACAAACAGTGGTATAAAAATTGGTCGAAAACCATGAAACCTTGTCCAAAACTATTGTTTTTCTAGGGTTTCAGAAGGGACGTTAGGCACTTTTTGGGTTCGATTTTGGCGCTGTTCCGTCCTTCAGGGCCACTGTGTTTTCCCGTCCGGGAGGGTGCGTTTTCAGCCTCGGGAGGAAGAGCAGCAGCAGCAACAGGAGCAACATGCAGGAGGGTTCTATGTCTCATTGTACAAACAGTGGTATAAAAATTGGTTGAAAACTATAAAAATAAAAACTTGTCCAAAACTATTGTTTTTCTAGGGTTTCAGAAGGGACGTTAGGCACTTGGTTTCTTTCAGGTTTCTGTCGAATTTCATGCCGGGTGTGCTTCAGGAATTCTTTCAGTCCTTCCGGGGTCGGCGGCAGGGGCGGCAGCCCTTAAATATGTTGATAAACTGTTGATATATTTTGTAGTTTGCTCTTCACCTGTCATCGAAAAACCCTTGACTCGCCTTGAGATCTGAGGCCCTGCACGGCTCCACAGCAATCTCAACGTTTATTTCCTCCGTGTCGAAGGAATTGGTGTCTGCAATCACTTGAACAGAACATAATCCATTTTGGAAGACCCTGGTGCACCACATTTTGCATTTTGGAGGACCCTGATGCAGTCAAGCGAAAACTGCATGATGTTCTGCTCTTGCTCTCCTGGGGCGTCTGATTCCACACCCAGCCCTCGCCCTTATTCTTCTGGCTCTCCTCATGCAAATGATCTTGCACAGCTCTTGGTTTGAAAGACTGCTGGATTGCCTGAGGGTATCACTAAAGCCAAACCCTTACTCCAGAGTAAAACAAGGAAATTCTTGATGTCTCTCCTACGAATTGTGGACAATCTGCACCCATTCGAGCCACTGGCAAGTCCATGTGCTTCCGGGGAAAGTTTTTGGGAAGCTGGAAATACTGGAAACATGCATGTCATAAAGTGAGATACTGACATAGTATCATGCCATGATGTGCCATCATGCAGACCAGTTGCCCACTGCCCTGGATCTCCACCTTCCAGCCTGAAGCACAACATAGCACAACACTAACTGGTCCCTACGTCTCAACTTTTACTACTCTTGTGAGTTATGTCTCCAATTCTGATGTCCCATGATCAAACTGTCCATGCTCTGCCCAGCAACGGAGATGCATTGATGCCCATGGGCACCTGCGCTCGGTGCAAAAGATTAAAAATGACAACGACCCAGTGTGTGTATGCAATCGGCATTCAAAAAAAAGCTAAGTAGAACTCTGCAAATTCTTATGTCTGCAGCCCATACACTACCCACCTCACTCCGCTTTCCAGAGCTGCTTGCAGCTGCCGCAGCATAGCCACCTTTGGGTCCCAACAAGCCCCAGGTCAACAATAAATTTCTTTGTGCTCCACAGAAGGAGCCAATGTTTTTTGCGACGCAACAGGAACGAGAGAAACACTTCAGGACAAAATGAGCAGCATACCAAATCAAAAACTGGAAATTCTCCTGCAGCAAGCCAACACAAATTTCCCTCAGCTAGTTTCACTGGCTGCAGGCCTAAATGTTGCGGAACGCGGGCAAGCAAATGAGGCTGTGCTCGCGCCAAGTATCGAGCCTCACAAAATAGCCAGGATGTGCAATTCGTGTTTCCCATGAGACAAAACAAGGCAAATATCTCCCTACCCATGGTGACACTCTTGGAATATGAGTCTGCCCTGAAGAGTCTCTATGTTTTGATTATAGTTTGCAACGGCTTGTATCACCTTGATACCCACATAAAAGCATATACAGTAATGTTTTGTCACCATATCTGCCTTGACTGCTGTCACAAACCAATTGAGCAGTCTGCTAGCCTGCACAAATGAGAAAACACATTTGTAGGAGCGTTCTGAAGTAAATTTGGCCCAAGCCTGAAATTCACTGAACTGTTTCCGCAGCATTTTTTCCGCCTGGCACACCACAACCCGAAATGAAGGGGAAAAAGTGCTAAATATGGACGAAACGTTCAGATCACTTCATGACAAACAAAAATTCCACCGATAGGGTTGGCCATCTCGGTTTGTACACCTGGTTTACCTCGTTAAAATTTCCGGCATAAAACTCTGGCGTCCTGATTGGTATTGAAAGGGTGAAAATTTGACGGAAGTGGAGAACATCAAAACCTTGGCAGGAGTTGCCTCACCCTCCTTGAAACCTTTGGCATCGCCGTCGCTCTCCTGAGACACCCATCCACAAAAATCCGAAGCAAACTGAACCAATGGAACCCAGGAGGAATACAGTTGTCTACACCGTTTTTGACTCCATAAAACCAAAGCAACTACAGTAATTTCTAGGAAATATCCGACTCAAATTGTTCCGCCCCAAAATTTTGAAAGTCTGTGGGAATGAAAATTCCAACCAACAACACATTCGCAACGAATCTCCACTCGGCTCCTTGACGTGGAACAAATCTGATTGTCGTTCCAAGAACGTCATAAGCGTGTGCAGCAGGTCCTTACGGAAATGTTCAAACACAATTTGCATCTGTGATGTTGAGTCCGATTTGAAAACATCAGTACTGAACACGCCTCAATCCCCTTGTGTTTTTGAGCCAGCCCAAGTAGGAGATCATCCTAAATTGCGCAGCAACTCAATGTGCCATCTTTGTCGATGCATAGGTTTTGCATCTTGGAGAGTTTTTTACGTGTAGTTTGTCCAAATCAAATTCATGGTTCAACATCGTTCGGAGACTCCAAATCAAAGGTGCAAAACTTACACCACAACCTCATGCCATGTCAGAATGCCTTGCCAATTTTCAAATAATCGGTGGAAATATCAAAGGAAACTGTGTTTGGAATGAAATACAAATGGCAATGTCAATGTGTATTCAATTTAGTTTACCTGCAATAGCTCAGGGTCACACAAACCGACCATCCATGGCTAACAATGTTTGCTTTGATTGGAATGATTCGTTCGATGTTTCACTTATGTTTCACACATCGCAGGCGGTGTTTTCGAGTTCATTGATTGCTTGCTTGCACCAAAAAAAAAAACTGCCATTGAGTTTGCCTTCCGCATGTCTGGACACGTTTCTGGCTTGTCGTTTTGTCTCTTTTCTCCGGAAAAACGACGCCATCGTGTCTTGAGCCTCAACCGAATGATTTGAAGGATCACCACTGGTGAATGGAGTACCACGGCCTTCAGATAGTTGTTTGGTCATGTTTAACTTTGGCGGTTTGGTGCTCCCAAACGTTTTTCATTTTGTGTGGGTCTAGCATGGTCTAGCCAGAATGGTGTACCCCAAAGCGATGGTTTTTGATGTGCATTAGTGCCTCAACTTGATTGCAGTTGTGATGGGCTTGGCTGGCAGTTGAAGCAGAAAAATTAAGTGATGAGTCAACATTTGAGCCGGGTACAGAATTTGACCAACGCACATAGCATTGCAATAATTTACCTTCATCAGAACAACGGCAAAACCAGTGGGACAACTTGCCGAGTGAAACATCGCGAAATATGTCCGATTGAACGACATCATTTTGACCTCAAGTCCGATTTTCCCGCAGCGCCTGACTTGTTCCAGGCTGGTTCATTCAGTAAAGTTCAGTTCGTTGACATTGATCTGGACCTCGGACAAACATGACATGGATGTAAACTACCAAAGAGCATCCAAAATGGACTTGCCAACCTTCAACCGAATCGATATATATATATATATGTGATTTATATACATATATACATATATACATATATACATATATACATATATACATATATGCATATATACATATATACATATATACATATATACATATATACATATATACATATATGCATATATACATATATACACATATATACATATATACACATATATACACATATATACATATATACATATACATATATATATATATTAATATATTACATATCCATATATGTATATGTATAAACATATTGCGTATATGCATATATATATATATGTGTGTGTAGACATATATATATATATATATTCAACTGGTTGGACCCCCCTGAGTTTGTTTATTTTGGGGCGCCGCGCAGGTTCATCTCGCGACTCATACAGAACTTTGTATACTCGCAAATCCTGCAGGTAAGCTCCAAGTTGTCATTTAATGTCATACGGAAAGGTTCATAGACTTGCTATATGTATCTATATTACACCAATGGACCACAGCAATCCTATGAACCCTGCCTTGTGACATGCCTTTTCGTGCCTGACCTTTGGTGGTGGAAGATACGCGATATTGATGCAGACCACATGTCATGTTTGATAATAACTTGTAACAAAAAGATGAACAAGACTCCGGCTCCATTCTGTAAGTCACACTGCGTTTGCTGCCCAATATTTTCCATTTGTGGTATTCATTCTTGGCAAAAGGAAAACGCTTCCAAACTTGGAGCAGATACTGTGGCATGGCCACTGGGAGACTTACTAGACCATACTCTACCATGTTTCATCAGATCACATATTTCGCCGTATGGCGGGGATGCATATGTTGATGTGAATGAAGGTCTGGGCTGCTCTCGCAGTGATGACGCAAGCTTGCACTGCACAACGCTCATCCATCAACTCCTTCACTTCTTCACGGTGTTTTTGTTGGGCTTGGTTCAAAGCCTGTTCTGGAGGAGACGCCAAAAAAGATTCGGAAGTAATCTCCTAAAATAGTGGTAAATCGGACCTGTTCATACCTTCTAAATATCTTTGGTTCACTATTGAAGCCCACTAAATGTGCCAACCAACATAAAAATAAGGAATTACTAGCAGAGACTTCACTATTGGTGATCGCACCGTAGGGGGACTTCTCAGCAAAATCGCTGTAAATCTTCCCTTTTTCCGTGAAATTGTGACGGAAAAACATGTGCTGAATTGGTGGACAATTGGTAAATCATCCATTAACATCCCAATTCAAAGGAGGGAAATCAACAGAGACACACCTTTTTTATCTTGCCCTGCCAAGTGGTGCATTCACAAAAAGAGTTTTGAATCAAAATTTCACTTTGAGAAACTTATGGATCCCAACATATCGTAAGAACATATGTAACATATCTTAAGAACACAATGTTTGACTCATGAAACTGAAACGATGCTGTGGGTTTGTTCAATGGGGGATGGGGCGCGCCGAACATCACCATCACAGGGGGAACAATTATGATTCAACCAGAGCTTTGCAATTTCTTTTTGCACCAAGGAATTAAGGGTTCCTGTATATAAAGAAAAAATGTAGGGAAAGTATGGGCAAGTCAGATTTGCGGACATTTGCCTATTTCAGGCAAAATGTGGTTCTTCTGAGACAAACATCATGGGTCTCCACTTCCCTTGCTGTTTCACATACAGCACAGCAAGTAATTCCCAGCAAATGCTGAAATGGTCAAATTGATACACCTTTGTAAAAATTAGCAGGACGTGGTCAAATTCTATCGTTTAGGGGTTGCTACATACCTTATAACATAATTAATCAGTCATATCTATATGGACGTTTCCTGAAATAGGGGTACCCTAAATCATCCATTTATAGATGGATTTTCCAGCAAATAAACCATCCAGCTATGGTAGCAGCTATGGGGGTTTCCCCGTGACTATTAGGTCATCATGATACCCGGCGACCCCACCTGCTTTCCTTCGGCCAATAACGCTTCAGTTCTTTCCTGCATTTTCTGTAAAAAAAAAAACAACTCCTGGCCTCATTAAGCCCCGAACATGAAGTACCCCCCAAACCAAACCGGTTATTTTGATGTGTTTTGTACTGGATCTATTCATTTTGTGGGGCACAAAAAAAGGAGGTGAATGGGCGACCAGAAGTGCACATCCAATGAACGATTTGATAAAAGATGTAGATGCTCCGAGGTGAGCGCTCAATGGGCAGGGAAAATCAACCAAGCATCTGAAGCGATGTCATGTTTGACTGCGACCAAAAAAAAATTAACGGAATTCAACCCATAGCCAGCACTGAAGAGTCTAACAGAGTCGAAGCGTACTAGTGGATGTCAGTGGCTGATATAGGAATTTCAGACATCCGCACATGGAACACAATGGAACATAAGACAAGCGTGGTGCGAGTCGCTGCACCTCTAATTTGTGAAGTTCCCTTCGAAGGTCGCTAATCACCTGGAAGCTGTCACCGTTTTCTTGGAGACACTCACTTAGTCACTTCCTTTGGGAAAAATGCATACATCGGCATTGGTGGAGTGTTGAACTTGCTGAAGTAGTGCACATCGCTTTGACTAGGACCCTATCCAGCAATCTTGTCAGGTCGTGTAGCTGGGGGTGGGCCTCGTTCTTCTCACTTAGCCTCTCCTCCAAGGTTGTCTTGGCAGACTGGCACGTACAGGCAGAATGATCTGTACTCACTCATAGTTTGACAAGTGACCCCGACCAGTCGAAAACCACTCACAAACATGGTGATGCCACACGATGATACAACATTCATTGGAACAACAACAACAACAACAACACCAACACCAACACCAACACCAGAAGCAAGTTGATTCTGTTTGATTCCCAGGGAAACAAAGATGAAGGTAGAAAATTCCAATTGAACCGGATGTGTGTTTCTGTTTCAACACGTGTCTCAATTTGTCCAAGTACAGTACTGTGTTCTCTCAGGGTGTCCGTGCAGGTGCCCTCGCCTCTGCGGTGGCCTTGGCTGCTTCCATCTCCGCCAATTCCTCTTTGAGCCGAACACAGGCCTGGCAGGTAAGCTTCCCAAGATCTGCCGCAGAATCACTGGTTTGCAGCCCTTGTATTGTTTTTGTTCGTTTGTGGCATTTTGCCTCGGTTTGGACATGGATGTGTATCATCGATCTTACCTTGGGTTTCAAGAACCAGTTCTAAAGGAATGGGAATTTATGATAGCTATACACTAAGGTGTAAATTGGCTATGCACACACTGCATTTCCTGGGCATATAAGCACTGAATCAGTGCGTTATGGTAGCAAAAAAAAATACGGGAAAAAATCCTCGTATGATCTGGTATGTCCTTCTATGCGCATGAAACGATACGGTGATGCGCCAATCCGGCATATCATGATTCCTTCAGGCCATTGCCACCATTTATGCTACAGAATCTTGAACCGCAAATTCGGCCATTGCACCTGATCCCCAGAGAGCTGGGCTTTCAAATGGGCTGCTGCCTGTCAGTGGACCGTGCAAGCCCGACCAGTTCCCCCTGCTCAATTGCCCTAAAAAGTCACGAACTCATCTGTGCACTCAAAACTGATTTCACTTTTCACTCCATGACTCATCTGCGCACTCGAAGTCTCTCAAAATTGCCTCATCTGTACACTCAGGTCTGGATTTGGGGTGGGGTTGGGGTTGGGTGGGGTGGGGTGCCAATAATAACATTCATGTTTCCAGGCACATAGCAGTAGTACACACTCACCGTGCATTGGGCTGGGGTTGGGTAGCGAAACGTAGATTGCAATGGATACAATGGAAAGGAATGCATTACAGGCAGGTACAGAAAATCCAAGAACTGACAATGTATGATCAAAGACTGGAGACCCTTCGCGTGCAAGGACGAATCATAAGAGCGCATGCACAGACGAGTTGAAAAGCGCCGCGTACAGACGAGGCACTAACCCCATAAAACGTGGCTGGAAAACCTTTTTTTTTTGTGGGATGGTCATGCGGGGATTCTCCACTGCCGTGCGTTACATACCAAGCTGGGTGGTTGCTTCAACTATGTGTCCTGATGTTCAACCCGTAAGGTCATGATCCCAACTGACTCATTTGTGCATCGGATATCATCGGAGCACAAAACTCATGGCAGACCCATGCATGGAAGATGGCTCAAAGGACTTCGAACCCAGCATGGATTCACAAAAGGGTGTTGCTTAAAATCACACACCGAAGCAAGCAGCTCCTTGGATACGAAATCGGTGTCAACCTCCTGTCCAAAGAACACATGGGAAACTCAGAAAGCATCAGGAACCTAAGATAGCCATAGATAACTTATACTTATGCCTATATGTGCGCATGGATTATTAACTAACCTCTATATTCATTCATTGTTCACAATGCTTTTTGATAAGAAACGTCCTGTGCCAAGCGCGGCCCCTCCCACAACAAAACCACTTCAGGGCATCTTGGTCCTGAAATCCAAAGTCTGGCGTGCCAGGCCCGCTGGATGGCGACCTGCCGCTAGGAATACTGCATCATATTTACAAAAAAAATGCAGCATGTCATATATTCTCATTTATGTGTGCCATGCACAATTTAGCGATATAGACAATATGCATGCATAGACGTTATATAATCAAATAATCATACGTGTCATGTACAGGCATCCGAGTGCTTCTGATTTGAATCCTGGATTAGTAACCCCCCTATTGATTTATTGGGGCAATTAGGGGCTCCCCCAAAGTGATCATCTCCTACTACAATGGTGGCACCCTGCATTCCCACTAACTCCCCATGAACTCCAGAAACATACCCCATTTTGCCCTGCCTGTAAATAAGATCTGTCATCGTTTCACGTTCGGTTTCGTCGCCGTAATCCCCTTCGGGGGGGGCGAAGGGCGGCTCCTCCAGAGGCTTGGAAACCGACGCACATGACCAAAATCCGCAGTTCATTCATTCATCATGGTATACAGTGTTGAGATAGGATCGCAACCATTAGTTTCTCCCCCCTTGTTTCACCTGAAATCACACTTCGCAGTCACTTCGCACCTTATATCCCTCTTTGTACCTTAAATTTGTGCCACGTCCTTTTTTGTAGTTTCGAGCGTTGTTTGGAATTTACAGCAGAGTTCAAACCGCATCTCATCGCATTGTCCTGGTTGGATGGTTCAGGTTCCCATACTGGATCCTAATTGCTTCCAATCAACCAAGTTGTATGGGAAAACGTCCAATGATGTCACCAATCAACGAAGCTTTTGGGTTCCTGCTCAAACCTTCCGAATTTTTCAACTAGGACCTGCCCGCTCTGAGCACCTCGGACTCATCATCATCATCATCATCATCTGAACCACTGCTGATGTCAAACATCTGCGGGCACGCTGCCTGAGCCAACCAAACCCCGAGAGCAACACATTGATTCCCCCTCGGGCCCTCAAGGATTCTGTTGAAGAAGAAGCAAAATTCCACACAAGACTACAGCCAGACTCTTTGGAAAAGGGATCATCTTCGCAATAATCGGATGCATGGCGATGACTCTGGCAGAGTGATCTTTGTGAAAGGGAACCTATTTGGGTCTCTTCACTCTATCAAACACAGAGCAAGGGTGGTGGGAAAAGTTCAGGCTGCGGGATCTGCTGTAACGCAACATTAATGCAGCCCCTATCTGTACTTCACAGATACAGCAACACAAAGACTTGCTCAACAAAATCATGCATTGTGCGAAGTTTTGTCTCTGTTTCTGCCGTTGGTGTATTTGGCCATCCCTGGAAATTGAAAACGACTGAAACAGGACGCGGCTTGGGCATTCTCCAGGGTTTGACCCTGGCTTGCGGTGCTTGCCCTGTCTTAGCCGGCCATGCGGGTGGGTTGGCCAGGACAGAGCAAGCGCCACAGATCAAAACCCAGAGAATGCCTGGGCCACCGATTAAAGCAAATCAAAGCCCGTTTTTCCCTCTTCACATCTGTTCAGAAAAAATGAAAGGATGCTCTTTTGCTTACTTGGCTCTCCCTTGCAAACCACATTCAGGTTTGCTCTGTGCTCAACACCTTGAGTGGAGTGTTTGGCTCTCAATATGGTTCATCTTCTGCTTTCAAAGATATCAAATTACACCCCCGGAGACCCCAAACAGTTAGTCAGTTTGTCCATATCCAGTGCAGCGTCTGCGTGCATGTTTGTGGTTATACTAATCAATGACCATTTCAGGAACCTAAATTGGAGGTACGTACCATATATAAGGCCTATGTAAGGGAATATCCCCACAAAATATGGCCTTATATTATATGGTACAGTACCTCCATTTTAGGATCCTGAAATTCCCATAGAACTAAGTCCTGATGCATGTCAATTGGAAAGACCATGAATCACACGCATTTTTTCGTGCCACATGGTTTCGTTTTGTTGCCATGGCATTTGTATCTGAGACAATAAGAGGGAGACAAGATAGGAGACAAGTGGGAGACAAGTGGTAAAACGCCTAGAAACCATGGTGGAACATGAATTTACAGTATCTTGAGACAACAAGAAAACACAAAGGGAGTAAAGAAAAGAGACAAGCACGAAACACAAATAAAATCATGATGAAACTAGAACAGGACACCGCGACTAAGGCAGACATATGATTGGAGACAAGTGACTTCGGAGACTGATGAAGTACGGGAAAGAAGGTGAGAGACAAATGATGGATGACACACAAACGCGAACAGGCGAAAGAGCCGGACACCACCACTAAGGCAGACGATGACTGGAGAAAAATTTATTGCGAGACTACGGGAGACTGGTAAATTCGGAGACACATGGCGAAAGACACATGATGAGAGACAAGTTAAAGCACGGAAAAGACATCCAGAGAGCCAGACACCACTAGACAGCGTGGGAAACAAATGAAGGGAGACAAAGGAAGAAATACGTCCAAAGAGCCGGATACCACCGGCCAGAAAGGGGGCCAAATGAAGGGAAACAAGTAAAGAGATGCATCTAAAGAGCCGGACACCACCAGCCAGAGTGGGAGACAAATGAAGGGAGGCAAATGAAACAAACAACTGGAGAGCCCGGCACCACAAGCACACTGGGAAAACCCTGTGCGAACAAGAGTATGACTTTGTAACAAATGCGTTCACATTGACATACAAAATGACAGTCCATCTGGGCAATCCATAGAAACGAGGTGCATCATTTCCATAGGTCAAGTCAGCATAGGCCGAAAAAAGAAACACTTGTGAGTCTGCAAAGAAGCACAATGCAGCTAGATTTCGTTAAATTGACGTGTTGCCAGAAACAGATTTTGCATCTTTTTGCGGTGACTTGAGACCCATAGGGGGGTTATCAATGATTAACTCGAAAGTTTGCTAGTCACGGCTGGCTCCTTCTGCAAACGAGTTGCAGAGGCTCCTCCAAAAGCAGCTGCCACTGGCTGTTGCACTGCTGCCGGTCCAGCAGCAGTTGCAGTAGCCGGGACGCCCTGAGAACTATCGTTGCACATGTCAGGCGTGCCTCTATGAGGCCTCATGCGATTGGAGATTCCAGCCCCACAACATCTTGCTAAAGCAAGAGGGACTTGAGCTAGCAGAAGCTAGCTGTGATCAATTAGGAGACAAGTGAAAACAGACATCCGGAGAGCCGGACACCACCAGCCAGTCTGGGAGACTATTGAATTGGGAGACAAGTAAAGACAGATTTCAATACGTAGATTTTTTAGATATCAAAAACATCCCTTGGCTCTCTACACACACATATCACATATATCAACTACACACTGCTTGATCCACAAATCAACACATGGATATTGGATCTGCATTATTCTGCAATGTCTTTGCACCGAGAAAACAGGGTGTAGCAAAGTCAGGGCCCAACTGCCGCCTGAACAGTCGCTGGACCGGCGTCAGCTTCACTTGCTTGCTGTTGATCGGAGTCCTTCGCATCTGGGATAACAACAGTTCCTTTCTGCAATTGCCCATCTTTTCACATAGCCCATCTTCTCAATTCATGAAAACTTTGACAGTGACACAAGGTCCAATCCATTCTACAACAACAAGGCTGAAGGTCTGCAAACCCTTCCAGCCTTCGTCCCCTTTGGACCTGACTCCGAAGAATTTCCATATGGATTATTGACCTTTGCCACCATGGTTTGCGAAGAGGATGGAATGCAAACGTTGTCAAAGTGCACTTCCTCTATATTGCATATCAATATCCTGTCCTGTCAACCAACATCTTGCCTTGGGTTTAGTTGAGTCGTTGGTTGATCCGTGAAAAAAAGAATCTGAATTTGATCTCATCTTTCTTTTCATTGTAAGCCTGCTATCTGCTGCTAGTCAACAAAATAGAAATCTTCGACCAATCCTGGAATTGTGGTTCAATTTTAGGAAGGAGACGTGAATTTCCTCTCCCGAAGCATATTCATAGCTCTCATTTGTTGCCTCATCATTTGTGTTGGCTCCACGAGCCTCAGCAGGAAATGCAGCCAGAAATCTGGATTCGAGCAGCAAACTGGGGAGGGAACCAACTATACAAAATATCCAAAGGTGGCTTTCGTGAAAACTGACAAGACAAAATCCCTGAGTACCCGCACATGTTTGTCGTCTGACCTCTGGATCACGGTGACCACTTTCATCGCATCCATGCTGACGTGGATTTGGCAGATTTCCGTTGTCTGAGCCAATTGCAGAAGGACATTGATCAATTTCTGAAGAACTCGATAACTACATTGGAATTCTTTCTTTGAACATCGTGATTTTGCAAGCTTCCAAAAGCCTGCTCAGTGCGCGCTTGTCTTTTGGGTCCGCATTTGTCGCGTTGGCGTAGACATCACATTCAGCGCTTTGCTGGTCTACTAAAGTCTGTGCATGCTGTCAAGCAACTTGGAGGCAGATTTGTTAGGTAAGTCAAGCTTCGCTGCCTTTTGGAAATCTGACCAGGGAATCCAAAATCCCCATACACAAACAATGTATTATAGTACTATCATACAAACGCAGACTTGGTTGCAAAAACTGCCTGCGTCCCGACTCAAAGGTCTCTTAAGAAACGAGCGTCCCCCGTCTTCCTCACCAAATTGATATGGACAAGATAATTGCCTTGGAGCTTCTTAGCCCACGGGCCGAATAAGGCTTGGAAGCAGCCTCCCAGGGCAAGCAACACACGAATTCCAGGAGCAAACAGAGTCAAAAACAAATGTAACATTGCACATCATTGCACCACTCAAAGGACACTCTGCTGATCCCTTCTGTGCATTTTCCGGATATGTCTCCTTTCAATCCTGATTTGATCACTGATGATTGCGGGAATCACCAACACTTCTTGGTGCTAAGCAATTTCAGCGCAGATCCGCCCGAAAGCACCCGCACCTTGGAAGCCTTCTGAAGCTTCGGCGCAAAATTGCACTACAGGAGGAGAAGTCAGTCTCTCTCTGACGGGCAAAGACTTGTCCGTGCATGTGACTGCAATGCGGACCCAAGCCGAAAACTCTTCAATTGGATGCCACACAGGGGCCGTCCTGGGCACAAAATGCACTGCAAACACTCGTGGAACTCGCTTTGCGAGACTCTTGAATGACAACCTTCCTCCTCAGCACTCTTCCGCCGAAATGACACATTCGTTGAAGTACTCCCCCGCCCTTCATCTTGAAAACGAGGATATACATGGATATACTATGATACCAGTATGATGAGCTATCAAGCACGGCCGCACAGGAATGACAAGGCAGGAAGCAGTGGAAGGTCACGCGGTCACGTGAATATGTCCCTACTGCACCTGGCACAAAAGAATGAATCAAAATATATCAAAATGATAGCTGAAGTGAAACGCACCTGCACGGTTGTGTCAAAGGGGGAAGTGGTTGACGTTCAAGGCAACATGTCCTAAATGGTACGCCTACCATGCTACATGGACGTGACAACGGCCCAGGTGTCTTTTCTCCTTTGCGCCGCCCCGACAACACGGTTCACACAACAAGTGGCAACACAAGACACGTCTGACTGCCGCGCCTGCCAAGAAACTTAGATATTCACACGACATGCACACTGCGCAGCAAAGTCTTGGGCCCTTGGAATGGCCACCTTCACATAGTAACAGCCACGCGGATGGTTGCGAGCTGGGAGCTGTGGATATTTTGCTCATTTTTGTTCTTTACCCTCACTTATGCATAGGGGAACCCTTGCTCAATTCACTCCATGAAGAAGAAAGGGACCAAAGAAAGAAAACGCAGAAAGAAAGCTAGGGAAAGGGGCAGCAACGGGAAGGAGAGAAATCGAACGAGCGAAAGACAGTGAACCAAAAGCAAATTTCGAAAGGGATAGAGACGTAACCAGAAAGTGGAGCTCATGCAGTATTTATCTTTTCTTTCCACAAGCAAAAACCTCTGACACCTTCCGACCTCATAGATTGTCTTGGTGACGAAGAAGGGCAAACACAAAACAACTAGCAAGAGAATTCCCCGCAATGCAGCCAAGTGGCGGAATGCCAGTGACAGGCTGGAATGAATCGAAATCCAACAAGTTGAACAAGTGGGTCATCCAAACCTGTTCAAGCTTGGATTCTTTTGACAGTCAGAATGCAGAGAAGGATCTCATCATGTCCCCCCCGGCTTGCGTCGGAACATGTTGGAATCCTTCGTGCCTCGCGACTCGAAAAGTTGCGTGACACTGCTTGAAGGTTGTACTCTAACACTTCGGTCACCTGGGCTCGGTCTGCACATCACACCAAGTCAGAGCATTCATATCTGTGGAAAGCAGAGGAAAACTGAACAAAACCGCCAAAGAAACTGCCAAAGAAAATGTTGAACAATGCTGAACGACAGACGGCCGGTGGTTTTTTCTACACCAAAATTTGCGGCGCTCTTCACAAGTTGAGTCACAGGTAGGAAGCCGAGGAGATGAAGAAATATCCTCAGCAAGAAGCAACTTCTTTCTCGCTGCTCATGATCATGATCTGTCTACACTGGAAGGAACTCATGTTCGAACAGAGACTTCGAATGTCTCAAGCCCTCGAAGTCACACCAAGCGTTTCAGTCTGCCATCATTCTACAAAGGAACTGAGGACAGAGAGTGTCCTCGGCCAGCCTGCACTCTTTCAAGTTTCACATCTTCAGTCTTTGGTATGATTGAGACCACCAACGCACAAACTACCGAATCCATTCTTGATTCAAACATGAATCTATGCACAATCAACAAAAGCACTCCATGGCTTGCATCATGCCTTGCATCATGCCTTGCTTCCTGAACTTTCGTGATTGTCTCTGCCTTGCAGGATGTGGCAATGGTGCCAGCAAGGAAATCTCACCAACAGAATCCAAAGGGTGCAGACTTCGCAAGATGCTGAAACAACCAAGAAAACGACACAATGCAAACATGATGAATCTTATGCGGCCTTTGAAGGCTACAGACCAACAGCCCTTCAAGAAACACAACATCATCCACATCAATCAACACCCACCAGAAACTGTCTACTCTGGTATCTCTAGTTGGAAAATTCTGACTCGGGAAGCTCTCCAAATCTGAGGAATACCACCTTCTGTGCTGACTCTGATCCTAAAATCGTTTCAAAGAGCACCCGCCTCAGGGCAAACCAGACCGTCATAGAGGTACTCCCACCCAGTGTCAAAGTCCTGACTCACCACTGGACACACAACCAAAGTCTCCGACATGGATGGCAAAATGAGCCAAAAAAACGGCCTCGGTCTTCGCTTCAAATGGAATGCCGTGAATCCATACACATGGTCTTCGTACCTGAAAGCATTCTTGGAGAATGATCTCTGCAAAGTCTGAAAAGAAACAAACATCTGGTGTAGGCACAAAACTCGACATACTGCCCAACAAACTGGCAGGAATTCGCAACTTTATCGAACCTCTGACAACCCTACTGGGCCAGGCCTTTGGGATCACCTGGCAAGACATGCAAGTGAACTTCAAATGGAGAAAACTGTCAGAAATGCGATGCCAACCATAGAAAAAGTGCCATTTGTATCAAGAGAAAAGCCAGGCCCTCACCCTTTTAGCAAATACAGTTTTTCCAACATCACAGAAAAAATTGGCCACATCATCACCTGCAGCCAACCTGTGGACTGGACAGATTCTATGTCTGATCAGTCTGATCTATTCCCTTCAGAGGTTGTAATATTGCAACATCCAAAGGCCTTTCGTTGGCCTTCATTAGATTTCCTTTTCAAACGACAAAAGTCGGAAATGGCAATTGAGCACAGTTCAAACCCTCTCTCATCCCTTTACACCGGTTTATTGATACAGGTTCCCCGCCCCATACGGGGTCCTAAAATTTCCCAACAAACCAGGTACCGTATACCCCCTTTGGGCCGCCAAGTTCCCATGAACATCTGCCCTGCCTGATACGAAGATCCACTGGAGCCAGAAGTAGATACCAATGTATCCCTGCCCTGCTCGTGTCCGAACTGCTCTAGGTGCTCCGTCGTCTCACTGTCGTCGCCGTAATCCCCCTCAGGGGGAGCGAAGGGCATCTCCGGCAAAACCGGCTCCTCCAGAGGCTTGGAAACCGATGCACATGACCAAAATTTGCAGCTCTTTCATTCATCATGGCATAGAGATAGGACCACAACTGACCATCATTACCATTGACATCCATTGACTACAAAGACCATGCGACGCACTCTTCACCTGCAAACAACCTGTGAACTTTGCTTGGCCTTCATGTTCCTTCATGATGGGAAAAAATGGAAATCATATGAAATAAATTGTAGTAACAATTCTCGCTTATGCACCAAGGTTCAAAATCCAAAGGCCTTTCGCTGGCCTTCATTAGATGTCCTTTTCAAACGTCAAAAGTCGGAAATGGCAATTGAGCACAGTTCAAACCCTCTCTCATCCCTTTACACCGGTTTGTTGATACAGGTTCCCCGCCCCATACGGGGTCCTAAAATTTCCCAACAAACCAGGTACCGTATACCCCCTTTGGGCCGCCAAGTTCCCATGAACATCTGCCCTGCCTGATACGAAGATCCACTGGAGCCAGAAGCAGATACCAATGTATCCCTGCCCTGCTCGTGTCCGAACTGCTCTAGGTGCTCCGTCGTCTCACTGTCGTCGCCGTAATCCGCCTCAGGGGGAGCGAAGGGCATCTCCGGCAAAACCAGCTCCTCCAGAGGCTTGGAAACCGATGCACATGACCAAAATTTGCAGCTCTTTCATTCATCATGGCATAGAGTGTTGAGATAGGACCACAACTGACCATCATTACCATTGACATCCATTGACTACAAAGACCATGCGACGCACTCTTCACCTGCAACCAACCTGTGAACTTTGCTTGGCCTTCATGTTCCTTCATGATGGGAAAAAATGGAAATCATATGAAATATCCGCCGACCCCGGCCGACGCAAGGGGGAGCGCGTAAGGGAAGAAGATGGAAATTAGGTGGTGTTTTGCTGTTTCGGAAGCGTTTCGAAACAGTAGGCCCAGCCATAATATTGTTTAGGCGATTCTGGGGGATTCGGCCGAAACAGCTGGCCCAGCTACCGGAGATTCTGGGGGATTCGGCTGAAACAGTTGGCCCAGCTAGGATTCTCGAAGTAGGATCTAAACTAGGATCTAGATCTAGATCTAGGATTCTCTAGGATTTCAGAAGGGACGTTAGGCAGGTTTCTGTAATATTGTTTAGGCGATTCTAGGGATTCGGCCGAAACAGCTGGCCTAGCTACCGGAGATTCTGAAGGATTCGGCTGAAACGGCTGGCCCAGCTAGGATTCTCGAAATAGGATCTAAACTAGGATCTGGATCTAGATCTAGGATCTGGATCTAGATCTAGGATTCTCTAGGATTTCAGAAGGGACGTTAGGTAGTTTTCTGCCGCGATTTTTCGTTATTTTCGGCACGAAATGAGGTGGTGTTTTGCTGTTTCGGAACCGCTTCGAAACAGCAGGCCTAGCTGTAATATTGTTTAGGAGATTCTGGGGGATTCGGCCGAAGCAGCTGGCCTAGCAAGGATTCCCGAAGCCGCGATTTTTCGTTATTTTCGGCACGAAATTAGGTGGTGTTTTGCTGTTTCGGAACCGCTTCGAAACAGCAGGCCTAGCTGTAATATTGTTTAGGAGATTCTGGGGGATTCGGCCGAAGCAGCTGGCCTAGCAAGGATTCCCGAACTAGGATCTAGATCTAGATCTAGGATAGATCTAGAGATCTAGATCTAGGATTCTCTAGGATTTCAGAAGAGACGTTAGCCACTTTTTTGGCGTGGTTTTGGAACTAGTTCGTCCTTCAGAGCCATGGTGTTTTCCTGCCGGGAGCTGCTTTTATGCTTTTTTCGAAGTTGTTTTCGGAAAAAGGTTGTTTTTCTAGGATTTCAGAAGGGACGTTAGGCACTTTTTTGGCGTGGTTTTGGAACTAGTTCGTCCTTCAGAGCCATGGTGTTTTCCTGCCGGGAGCTGCTTTTATGTTTTTTTCGAAGTTGTTTTCCTGCGAGCGGGCGCAGGCAACAGAAATTCTCGAAAATGTTGTTTTTCTAGGATTTCAGACGGGACGTTAGGCACTTTTTTGGCGTGGTTTTGGAACTAGTTCGTCCTTCAGAGCCATGGTGTTTTCCTGCCGGGAGCTGCTTTTTTCGAAGTTGTTTTCCTGCGAGCGGCCGCAGGCAACAGAAATTCTCGAAAAAGGTTGTTTTATGTTGTTTTATGTTGTTTTTCTAAGATTTCAGAAGGGACGTTAGGCACTTTTTTGGCGTGGTTTTGGAACTAGTTCGTCCTTCAGAGCCATGGTGTTTTCCTGCCGGGAGCTGCTTTTTGTTTTTTTCGAAGTTGTTTTCCTGCGAGCGGGCGCAGGCAACAGAAATTCTCGAAAAATGTTTTTCTAGGATTTCAGACGGGACGTTAGGCACTTTTTTGGCGTGGTTTTGGAACTAGTTCGTCCTTCAGAGCCATGGTGTTTTCCTGCCGGGAGCTGCTTTTTTCGAAGTTGTTTTCCTGCGAGCGGCCGCAGGCAACAGAAATTCTCGAAAAAGGTTGTTTTTCTAGGATTTCAGACGGGACGTTAGGTACTTTTTTGGCGTGGTTTTGGAACTAGTTCGTCCTTCAGAGCCATGGTGTTTTCCTGCCGGGAGCTGCTTTTTTCGCAGTTGTTTTCCTGCGAGCGGCCGCAGGCAACAGAAATTCTCGAAAAAGGTTGTTTTTCTAGGATTTCAGACGGGACGTTAGGTTGTTTTTCTAGGATTTCAGACGGGACGTTAGGCACTTTTTTGGCGTGGTTTTGGAACTAGTTCGTCCTTCAGAGCCATGGTGTTTTCCTGCCGGGAGCTGCTTTTTTCGAAGTTGTTTTCCTGCGAGCGGCCGCAGGCAACAGAAATTCTCGAAAAAGGTTGTTTTTCTAGGATTTCAGACGGGACGTTAGGTACTTTTTTGGCGTGGTTTTGGAACTAGTTCGTCCTTCAGAGCCATGGTGTTTTCCTGCCGGGAGCTGCTTTTTTCGCAGTTGTTTTCCTGCGAGCGGCCGCAGGCAACAGAAATTCTCGAAAAAGGTTGTTTTTCTAGGATTTCAGACGGGACGTTAGGCACTTTTTTGGCGTGGTTTTGGAACTAGCTCGTCCTTCTGAGCCATGGTGTTTTCCTGCCGGGAGCTGCTTTTTTCGAAGTTGTTTTCCTGCGAAAAAGGTTGTTCGTCCTTCAGAGCCATGGTGTTTTCCTGCCGGGAGCTGCTTTTATGCTTTTTTCGAAGTTGTTTTCGGAAAAAGGTTGTTTTTCTAGGATTTCAGAAGGGACGTTAGGCACTTTTTTGGCGTGGTTTTGGAACTAGTTCGTCCTTCAGAGCCATGGTGTTTTCCTGCCGGGAGCTGCTTTTATGTTTTTTTCGAAGTTGTTTTCCTGCGAGCGGGCGCAGGCAACAGAAATTCTCGAAAAATTTGTTTTTCTAGGATTTCAGACGGGACGTTAGGCACTTTTTTGGCGTGGTTTTGGAACTAGTTCGTCCTTCAGAGCCATGGTGTTTTCCTGCCGGGAGCTGCTTTTTTCGAAGTTGTTTTCCTGCGAGCGGCCGCAGGCAACAGAAATTCTCGAAAAAGGTTGTTTTATGTTGTTTTATGTTGTTTTTCTATGTTGTTTTATGTTGTTTTTCTAGGATTTCAGAAGAGACGTTAGGCACTTTTTTGGCGTGGTTTTGGAACTAGTTCGTCCTTCAGAGCCATGGTGTTTTCCTGCCGGGAGCTGCTTTTATGTTTTTTTCGAAGTTGTTTTCCTGCGAGCGGGCGCAGGCAACAGAAATTCTCGAAAAAGGTTGTTTTTCTAGGATTTCAGACGGGACGTTAGGCACTTTTTTGGCGTGGTTTTGGAACTAGTTCGTCCTTCAGAGCCATGGTGTTTTCCTGCCGGGAGCTGCTTTTTTCGAAGTTGTTTTCCTGCGAGCGGCCGCAGGCAACAGAAATTCTCGAAAAATGTTGTTTTTCTAGGATTTCAGACGGGACGTTAGGTACTTTTTTGGCGTGGTTTTGGAACTAGTTCGTCCTTCAGAGCCATGGTGTTTTCCTGCCGGGAGCTGCTTTTTTCGCAGTTGTTTTCCTGCGAGCGGCCGCAGGCAACAGAAATTCTCGAAAAAGGTTGTTTTTCTAGGATTTCAGACGGGACGTTAGGCACTTTTTTGGCGTGGTTTTGGAACTAGCTCGTCCTTCAGAGCCATGGTGTTTTCCTGCCGGGAGCTGCTTTTTTCGAAGTTGTTTTCCTGCGAAAAAGGTTGTTTTTCTAGGATTTCAGACGGGACGTTAGGCACTTTTTTGGCGTGGTTGTGGAACTAGTTCGTCCTTCAGAGCCATTGTGTTTTCCTGCCGGGAGCTGCTTTTTTCGAAGTTGTTTTCCTGCGAGCGGCCGCAGGCAACAGAAATTCTCGAAAAAGGTTGTTTTTCTAGGATTTCAGAAGGGACGTTAGGCACTTTTTTGGCGTGGTTTTGGAACTAGTTCGTCCTTCAGAGCCATGGTGTTTTCCTGCCGGGAGCTGCTTTTTTCGAAGTTGTTTTCCTGCGAGCGGCCGCAGGCAACAGAAATTCTCGAAAAAAGTTGTTTTTCTGGGATTTCAGACGGGACCGGCCGACGCAAAGGGGAGCTGCCCGCAGGCAGCAGCAGGCAGCAGGCAGCAGCAGACACAAGCAGACGCAGCAGCAGTAAGCGCAATGGTAGCAGTGCAGCAGCTAGCAGCACGAAAAATTGTGTTTTTCTAGGATGGCACTAATGGGTGTCAAGAACGTGGGCAAGAGCACGCAAAAGGTGCACATAGCCAGTAGCTAGCAGCCAGCGCCAGTAGCAGCCAGCAGCCAGTAGCCAGCAGCCTACCAAAAATCTAATCTAGATTTTTCTAGGATTTCAGACGACACGTTAGGCACTTTTTTGGCGTGGTTCTGGCACTCGCTCGTCCTTCAGAGCCCTGGTGTTTTCCCCCCGGGGAGGTGATTTTTTCGAAGTTGTTTTCCTGCGAGCGGCCGCAGGCAACAGAAATTCTCGAAAAAGGTTGTTTTTCTAGGATTTCAGACGGGACGTTAGGCACTTTTTTGGCGTGGTTTTAGAACTAGTTCGTCCTTCAGAGCCATGGTGTTTTCCTGCCGGGAGCTGCTTTTATGCTTTTTTCGAAGTTGTTTTCGGAAAAAGGTTGTTTTTCTAGGATTTCAGAAGGGACGTTAGGCACTTTTTTGGCGTGGTTTTGGAACTAGTTCGTCCTTCAGAGCCATGGTGTTTTCCTGCCGGGAGCTGCTTTTATGTTTTTTTCGAAGTTGTTTTCCTGCGAGCGGGCGCAGGCAACAGAAATTCTCGAAAAATGTTGTTTTTCTAGGATTTCAGACGGGACGTTAGGCAACAATGCGTGTAAAACTGTCCCAGGAACATCCTTTCCCCATTTTTTTTGGGGGGGGGTGCAGGCCTGTACCATATATACGTTCTGACGGCTTGCCAATTCTTCCGGGGTCGGCGGCAGGGGCGGCAGCCCTTAAATAAATTGTAGTAACAATTCTCGCTTATGCACCAAGGTTCAAAATCCAAAGGCCTTTCGCTGGCCTTCATTAGATTTCCTTTTCAAACGTCAAAAGTCGGAAATGGCAATTGAGCACAGTTCAAACCCTCTCTCATCCCTTTACACCGGTTTATTGATACAGGTTCCCCGCCCCATACGGGGTCCTAAAATTTCCCAACAAACCAGGTAGTTTAGGTTAGTATACCGTATACCCATCTGCCCTGCCTGATACGAAGATCCACTGGAGCCAGAAGCAGATACCAATGTATCCCTGTCCTGCTCGTGTCCGAACTGCTCTAGGTGCTCCGTCGTCTCACTGTCGTCGCCGTAATCCCCCTCAGGGGGAGCGAAGGGCATCTCCGGCAAAACCGGCTCCTCCAGAGGCTTGGAAACCGATGCACATGACCAAAATTTGCAGCTCTTTCATTCATCATGGCATAGAGATAGGACCACAACTGACCATCATTCTTTATGTATATATATATATATATGGTACCCCCCCCCCCGAGACCTACCTTTTTGTAGTTTTTACTGGTATTTGCAGTAAATTATGCACATTTTGAGCTTAGATTTTTGGTTGCAGTTTTGGGTCATTTTTTGTTTGACTTGTGGGGGGTGCCATATATGTATATATATATAATAGAATTCCAATAACCATGTAAAAACTCACGTGCACACACACACAATGAAGCACTAGCAATTATCTTGAATCTTGAATCCCAAAAATGTTCAAATATTTGAAAAGTTTTGGGATTCAGGATTCAAGACTCAAGATTCAAGATTCTCAGGAAAAGTTCTTGAATCCAAGCCCTGACTGGCATCCAGAACTCCAAGATCTAAGGGCTTGGATTCAAGAACTTTTCCTGAGAATCTTGAATCAGCACACATTTTTATCTATGATCTGATTCTTGCAAGTATGATGTTTCAATATCTTCTGCAACATTTGGTATTTTTACATAACCTTTAGGATTTACAGCAATATGATTAGAGGAATAGATAGATTGAAACCTTGTTATCTGATATCTGATTTACAACAGAATATAGCATATTTTTTATTGTTTTGATGAATACAACTTTGTGTAAGGTAGTTGTTTATAATGACTACTGGTGGAATTCGTGTTTACAACATTTTCTGTAGCAATTTGAAACCTTTTAGCTCTACCAAAGCTGAGTTTTGTGCAAGATTAGGTGATATAGTTAGTGCATCTTGAGATTTTACATTTTTATAATGCAATTGTTTTTTATATAACCCTCCTACAATTTCATAACATTCCATCAAGCTTTGCATAGTAAATTGACAATAATCAATCATACGCTCATTTGATGTTAGTTGTTTTTTTTGTTCTTGGTAACCTGCGTTATGTCCATTCGCTTTTTCTTCAGCGTCTACCATTTTAGAAGAATTGATATGCTTTTGCTGTGAGCTGTGATGATTCATTCTTAAAACCAGTATAATGTAGATGATCTTGTAATTTCATTGCTTTAAATCCAGGAGTGCTGGAGTTAGATATGTTATCTTTTAAACATAAATGAGTTTGTTAATAATAAATTAATAAGCAAAAAAATAGGTAAGTCTTTAATATATTTATCATAGTCATAGTATAAATTTCTTACTTTTTTAGTTCATTTTTTTGATATGTTTATAGGTAGTATAAGAGTTTCTAGCATTGGGTGAATATGCATTTTTACTTTGAAAGATCCTATATTTTTATTGTTTCTTTTAGCTCTATATTCTGAGAATCTAGTTTTAAGTTAATCAACTTATTTTTTAAATTTTGGATATGTTTTTTCAGATTGAAATGCGTGTATATTTTAATGGTAATATTCTACCATTTTGTGATGTGAACTTTGATAGCATTTCAGGTTTTTTATAGTCTATTACTTTTTTTCTAAACATAATTGCGATCATGTTTTGTTTACAGAAAGTTTCTTTGCCGATCTATCTGCAACCCTTTCTAATACATTTTGTTGGGAAGGTTTTGGTTGATCTGTAGATAAACAGGTATTGCTGTCGGATGAGTTCATGTATTTTACTCATTATTGTTTATATTTTTCTTCTTAATTGTTGAAGAAATTACTGTTTAAGATTGCAGAAGGTTCTTTTTCAAATTAATTTACTTTTATTACTACCACGAATCTAATTATTTTTATTGCATTTTTTTTAAGTTTTTCGTTATTTTTGCCATCGTTGATTGATTTGCTTAGAAAGCAAAAACAAAATAATATGCTTTAGATCTTTTTTGCAGGGTAAGCAAGTTTATTTGAGGAATGTCCTTAGCAAACAGGCCAATCATGTGCAAGAAGAAATTGCAATTTGGACTCTACAACTTAGGGATACTTAGGGCATTTTCTGGTGATCAGAAATTGCATTGTTTGCAAAACTTGTGGGAATCTTGGATCTGGGATCTTGGATTTTGCAAAGAATGCATTCAGAATGCATTCTTCCTCAATTCTAAGGGGGTAGGATTCAAGATTCAAGATTCAAAGATAGGTCTCGGGGGGGTAGCATATATATATATACATATATATACCATTACATCCATTGACTACCAAGACCATGCGACGCACTCTTCACCTGCAACCAACCTGTGGACTGGACAGAGTCCATATATCATGTTTTGCCTTTGCGTGGCCTTCATGTTCCTTCCTGATGGGAAAAACATGGAAATATCATGAAATAAGGACCTGCCCAATGTGAGCACCTCGGACTCGCCGTCCAAATCACTGCTGATGTCGAACATCTGCGGCTTCGCCGCCTGGCCCAACCAAACCCTCTAGCTCCTTGGTACATCACCCACTTAACCAGAAACACCAACTCACTTGCTTTTCAAAGCTGTACCTCAAACTTTGCTCAAGTTTCTGAAAGGATCTGAAAGGCACCCATTTTACCTGTCAAACTTGTGTATTCAGGTGAATTTTGGGTCACTTTCCTATCTCAACTAGGACCTGCCCAGTATGAGCACCTCGGACTCGCCGTCCAAATCATTGCTGATGTCGAACATCTGTGGCGTCGCCACCTAGCCCAACCAAACCCTCTAGCTCCTTGGTACCTCACCCACTTAACCAGAAACACCAACTCACTTGCTTTTCAAAACTGTACCGCAAACCTAACCTCTCCCACATTAGTGTCGTCACACGTGCAAGATATGTGCAGTGCCCCTCCAAATCCGTCCAAAATTGGAAGCCATCTGCAACAAAACAGTTCCAAAAACGACCGAAAAAAAATGCATGTGTCCTATCTTTATTGTAAACAATATATATATATACATCTATATATATATATCTATATATATATGGTACAGGCCTGCAACCCCCCCCTCCCCCTCCGCAATGGGGATGGTTCCTAGGATTGGGTGTACTACCTCCCTGGAATCCAACTATCATGCAAGGTACCTCTGCTTCCCCGCCCCCCCCCCTGTGGGGTGGGTTGGGTGTAGTATGTATGTACCTACGTAGGTTGGTAGGTATAGGCATGTATGTATGTATGTACGTACGTACGTACGTACGTACGCACGTATGCATGTATGTATGTATGTATGTATGTATGCGATGGGGATGGTTCCTAGGATTGGGTGTACTACCTCCCTGGAATCCAACTATCATGCAAGGTACATACATGTTTCCCCGCCCCCCCTGTGGGGTGGGTTGGGTGTAGTATGTACCTACGTAGGTTGGTAGGTATAGGCATGTATGTATGTATGTATGTATGTATGTATGGATGGATGGATGGATGGATGGATGGATGGATGTGTGTGTGTCTGTATGTATGTATGTGTGAACAGAATGATCCCTGTTCCGGATGTGGTTCAACTCGTTTCAGAATACCTTGCGTTTGTGTTTACCAACGTTTCAACGGCATGCAGCGGAAGCGCAATTGATTTTCCTTGATATGGGCACTTGAGCCAAACATTGCGTTTGGCGGTCAATCCCTTGAAATACAATGGGAAGTATGTATACTGTGTTCCCATCTAGTCCCCATTTGCACCCCCCATGTTCGGCATTATGGGGATTTGCCGAACACGAAGGATGGGAACTTGTTAATTTTCCGCTGATGTACATATGCTCGAATTAGCTACTTGTGTGGTTCATCCTCACCGGGCGCTCGCTGAGCGTTACCGGATCGGAATCCCCGCAACATTTCTGGCTTCGCAGCTAGCTATCGGCATTTGTACAAAAGAAAAGGTTGGAAACTTCGAATTGGAATAGGCTACATCGAATTGAGCTTGGTGAAAAGAAATAGAAAAAGAAACTAAGCTAATCCTGTACAAGGCCTCGCTCAGAATCCTCTCACAAGTCAATCTTTGTGATGCTCATCAATGAAGACGGAGATCACCACATAGTGCCCAGACCTCACCAGTACCGGGCGCTCGCTGAGCGTTACCGGTTTGGATCAGTCAGTGCGTTTCTTCTTGTATTGGGGTGCTGGTTGTGGTTTGTCCGTGGGAGAAGGCCGAGATGATTTTGCCGACGTTGGCATCTGCTTTGGTGCAATTTTGGCTTTTGCGGGGCCAGCTGCAGCAGATGATGATGAGCTTGAGTAGCTTGGGGCAGCTGTGGGTGCGACCTTTGGTGGAGGTGATCTGGGACCATAGGCCTTTGGACCGCCTCTTGATTTGGCCTCGGCTTCAGATGCGCGAGCCTCAGCCTTTGCGACGTCGTCCATAGCTCTCTTTGCGCCCTCAGTGCTCCCAATTGCCTTGTAGACATTTTGTACGACTTTTGGATCGACGTTTGGTGCAATGTGATCCATCCATCGTACATGTCCTTTGGCAGCTTCTTGTTCGGCACGTTTGATTGCATGTGCAATCCTTCCGATGAACGCTTGCGGGAGGTTCACGTTGCATTGAGATGCTGTCACCAGCAGCTCCAATTGGCGTTCTTGTTCCCGGTAGGACAGGTAGACCGCAAATGCAGGAATTTCAAGGCAATCCTCGAACCCATGGTCACCAGTTCGAAAGTAGGTGTATTGCGTTGAGTTCGGGAAGGCACTCTTCAATAGTCTGCATAGGAAGCTGCTCATTTTGGCTCTCATCTCACTCTTTTCTTCGGTGGTGCCCTTCATTTTGTAATTGGAGATCCTCAGGTTTGAACCCAGCGAGCACCAGTCGCTCCATGAGCTTTTCATAAATCTCCAATGTTTTGACCACAGTCATTAACATATTCCTTGGGCGCCCCCCATACATCATTTCTCCTTGCATCCACTCTTCTTGTTTGGCCTTGGCGCGGAACATCACGTCGAGTTCCTCCTCGGTGGGGCGTCGAAGTACACCGTCATCATCTTCGCCAGTATATGGGCATATGCCATCGAGGTCCAGTCTTCCTACACGGCCGGTTGTCATTTCGGCTCGGTAGTCTTCAGGTGTCATTTGGACCCTTTGTCTGTAGTAGTGCCTGTACATGCCCATGATCTTTGCCAAGACGGCGTTGTCAAAGAGTTGTGCCGCGCCCTCGGATGAGTCAGTGTTGATCATCCCCATAGCGGGCAACCGGATGCTACCAACGTCGAGGTTCAATGCCCACTTGGGCATCTTGGCCACCCCTGGGGCAGCCTCGGCCTCTCCGGCTTCTTCCTCCTCTTCATCATCGGCGACGACTTCTTCGTCATCTTCTGCTTCGTCCATCTCTTCGTCGCCTTCCTCATCATAGTCGACCTCGCTCGGGTCAAATCCATAATCGTTGTCTTGAGAAGCACCTTCTTGTGCCTCGTGGACAACATCCTTGAAGATGGTTTCTTTGTTTCGGCGGATTTCTTCATCAAGCTGCTGCTTCGTGGTTACCTCCTCGTCCTCTTCCTCGATGATTCTGTATGGCTTTAAGCCATGATTCTCGAGGGCTGTCCAGCATGCCAAACAGATGGCAAAGACAGTTGGCGTCTCCTTGAGACAGTGAGGACAATACCGGCACCCTGATTCTGTGACCGGTTTCTTTTCGAGTATGTAATCCACGAGCCTGATGCGCCCTTCGTATTGTTCTTTTCCACCTTCAGGGATCAAGCGGTTTTCGAACTTGTCGACGAGGCTCATGGCATCAGTGGTGAGCTCGTCGAGGGGCTGCTCTTCCACGCTCAAGCATTGCTTGGCCAATCGCAGCAGGGACTCCTTGGTCGCGACGATAGAAGACTGTATTCGTCCACTGCGGACGACCTGTTCGTCTCCTGTCTTCACAATCAATCGATCCCATGCTGTCCTGGAATTCTGAATCCACCCGCCTTTGATCTTGGAGAATGGGATGATCTGGTCTGTCACCACCTGTCCTGAATCAGTTAAACGTCCGTTGAACTCGTTCATCAGGACCTCCGTGGGAATGTAGAGGCAAGTGTATCCTCCCTTTCGCGTATCAACGCTTTTCGTGATTTTCCACGATCTCGGATCCCACGGTGCATACGGGTTGAAAAATGTGAAGATCCTCCAGCTGGTGTTCAACCCTCCTGGGATTAAACCCTCCTTCCAGATTCCTCGAAGGTTTCGGCTGGAGGTGATGTGGAAGCAGACCGGCATCGCCACTACTGTGCTTGGTGCCAATGGGTGTGAAAGTAGTGTGGACTTCAGCTCGACGTCATTGTTTCCACGAACGTCGCCATGCCCAGTAGGGGCTCTCACCGCGACAGGATACAGAATCAGTCCTTCCGCAGGGATGTCAGTGGCGGTCGATACACCGTTACACCGACAGGTTGGACTGTTCCGATCAATGTCGGGAAAGATACCAAATGCGAGCACCTGTTCACGGACACGTCGACCGTACCTGGCACAGTAGAACATGATCTTGAAGAGCGTCTGCAACCTGAACGTCGCTTCTTGCTCGTCCCAATTGTCCTGAACTCTTTCTTTCCCACGGGGAATCAGGTATGCATGAGGCCACCTCAATTTTTCGTGCCTCCAAATGGCTTCATTCTGAAGCACATCATTGATCGGGACCCATCCGGCATCATCACATGGCAAACTTTGAGGTTCGGAAGCTTTTCCGATGTGATGCCGAAGGATGCGATTCAGGTCCGAGCTCACTTGATCCTCGTAGTCTGAGAGCTTGTTGCGCTGCCCGAATCGGTAATCGACTCCATATTCAACACCGCTGTAAAATTTGTAGTTGAAAAAATGACAGCCTGTGTTGGGAACGATCTTCAAGAAGCCGTCCATCGGTGCCTCGACTCTCTTGTAGAGTGGTTTGCGGGTGTTCTTGTCGGTGTAGGCTGCAAGGAATTAATTCTGGAACTTTCCAGATGTCACCACCTCCACGCATGACGGCGTCTCGAATCACCTCGTTGAGGTCATTGCTCGTCATTGGTCCTTCAGAGACGATGTCACGGCCATCAATGCAAAATCTCCCTTGTTCATCCAGGTCTCCGACTTCGGACATCGGACGGCTGTCGTCATACCAATGGTATTCTCCTGTTCGGGCCGTGTCTGGTTCGGCTGGCCCTTTGGATTCATCAGCCTTGTCCGCTTCTCCTTTCATCTTCTCACCTTCTTGTTCCATGTCGGCGTCGGAGCCTGAACTTTCTCCTTCAAGTGCTGCTCTGACTGCATCAAGGGCCTTCTTGATATCAGCCCTTTTGGGATCTTCGCATTCATCATGTGTATGCTTCGTGCTTCCGCAATAGATGCATACGTTGACGTCTTCTGACGCAGTGAAGAAGTCCACAAGAGCATCGAGAAGGTATTGTTTTCCGGATCTCTCCGAAGCCCGGGCGGCTTCTGCGTCGGCATCAGTAGGCTCCTCAGCTTCAGGTTCGTCAGGCGGGGCTGATAGCCCTTGACCCAACTCATCGTTGGCCTCGTCACCTGCATCAGCCTCGTCGTCCATGTCGACGTCATCTGTGATGTTGTACTTCTTGCGGAACTTTTCAATCACCTGTTGTTTCTCCCATGCTGTCATGCAGTCGAAGTTGGTGAGGCTTTCATACTCGGGGATGGTGTTGATGATCGTCATTACTTCCCCTGCCTCTGATGTCTGGAGAGTGCAATCGAAGGATCCGCGTCTCTTGTCGTTCGTGGTGAAGGTGGTCCTTGCCATGGATCCA